TCACATGTATTGACATTTTGTTAGGTTCTTCATCTCTTGATTGGGCAGTTCTTTTAAGAACTCTCCTTTTCTAGCTCGTTTCTAACTTTTCGATAGCTTCTCCCTTGGATAGGTATTCGAATTCCTCGCCAAAGGAAGGGTGGTTGGGGCGAGGCTAGGGTGGGTCTCCAGTCGCAGCAACCTCCACGAGGTGAGACCTGGGGATTATTATTTACTATGTAATTAATATAATTATTAATTACATAGCAAATAATATGAGCTAATGGCTGCGTTCTTCTTATAGTTCCACATACCTTCTTCGTCCTGGTGTGCGGTTCAATAACACCGATTTCGAGTCGCAAATACGTTTTTGCCGTGTTAGTTTTTAAATAAATAATATATTACAATTTAAAATGAAAAATAGAGGATTTGCGGTGCATTTATCAATGAGATCCTTATGTATTTTAATAATTTTGAAATCTTTAAATAATCTCAATCGTTTGGTTATTCCAATGAAATTAATCGATCGATGCTCAATTCTGGACCATACAGCTTTCATTCCGTTAAAAAATAATAAAATTTATGTATTCTTATTTTCTGTCTCACTTCCTCTTGTGTTAATTTCTAAATCTGTTGATAACGTTGCGAGTGACACGAAAATGGTAATGGGGTCCCGGGACCCCAGAGAAACGGACCGAAAAAATACATTAGGTGAAAGGTCTACTCGTACACCTCGTCTGTGGTTAGATTCGAGTTTCAATGTGAACACACAAAAGAAGCAGTGGTACGCAATCACAGACGAAGTGTACCAGCCACAACACACGGGGTAAAAATATTTTTCGATCGCACATGGGACGCCATCAAGTGGGGAAGATAGAGTACTATTTCTTGAAAAGCTTGGACGTTCTGCCGTAGATGGCGGAGTAATGTTGTGTTCTCGTTAGTGGTAAGATTAAAACAGAATTCGAGTCTCGATGAATAGTCGAATAGTTATCAAAAGTATGAAAATCAGCTTTGTAGATGCGAGTCGTTTTGCATATAATTGGAAGCTTAGAACTCTTGAAGGTCTTGATAAGTATGAGGGTACAAAGAGTTTCGATATCAGTTTAATCGAATATACAAAGTGACTGTTATATCAGGGCTAATTAAAAATTGAAACAGTTTCATTTTTGGTGCCTTGGGTTCGAATTTACACGGAACAGAATCAACGGACGGCGAAACGAATTCGCCGGAATGAAAGGCAAGCAGTTTATGTTATCTTCGCGCGAAAAAGCGACGCGTACAAATCGAACGATTATGCGAGAGTCGTGACGCGTCGTTCACCGCGACGCTCTACTCTACGAAAACGCGATTGGATTGATTCCGGTGATAAATCGTCTTCTGGCCTTCGATTCACGACACAGCTAAACTCTAGCTAGCCCTTCGACGAGAGGAATTCCGTACCACTCGCGGAAATTCATCTCCCGATTTCGTTAAAGAAACTTAATTTATAGATACTATTTTCATCGTTCTAAGGTTTCTGGAACAAGATTGTACCCTTAATAGTTATCGTCGAAGCACTCGTGATAACGATAATTTATCGTACGATGAATCGTTACGTCTTTGGCCTGTTTAAGTTCCAGGCGCGTTCGAAGAGGGACTACGAGGCGTCGCGACGGCATGGCCACGTAATGTTCTGTGCCGGATGAAGGGGTTGAAGAGGTTGGGCGGGTGGCGAGAATGAACGCGCGCGACCGCCCGTTGACCGCGAGCAACCCGACAGAAAAAGAAGGCTGTTTTTAACGCGTGTATGTACGACGAGGCGCGTAAGCGAGAGGCGGAGCTATGCCTTCAAAGGGGTCAGAGGGCACTACCAATCGCAGCCTCGTGATAACCACTCTCGTCGGCTACTCTCGATATACGGAACCACGCGCGCGCGCGCGCGAGACCGTTTCAAGAGTCCTCGTTACCTGGCCACAGTTTCGCTCCTGCAACACCAGGAAATCGTCTTCCACGGAAACTTTCCTCGTGTAACGGTGCAACTTTCGAGTCACTTGTCCATCATCCACGACTTTGAAGTTTGATTCAATGTTACGGTCAATCTTGCCGCGGCTTTACAGGAATAGTACGACTTACGATTATACTCCATCTTGCGTCAGGGGACAGTTGGAAATTTGTGTTTATTGAAATATATCTAGTTTATTAGTGTCTTTTTATGGTCATACCGTGTGCAGTTGTTTTCAAGAGTTCGTAACGATGATGAATGTTTTTAATACGCATTTTGATGGTCCTTGGGTTATTGTAAATGTTGCAAGGCGCAAATAGTCGGTGCAGGATGAACGAATCTTCCCTGGTCAGAAAAGATGCGGCGTGTTTGCGGCGCGAAGGAAGTCCGGGAGGCCTCGCGTTCGCGGTTCCGGAAGCCGCGCTCGATCGGCGGAAGACTCTCGACGGGCAAACGAAGTCGTCGCAATTTATGCGTGGGTCGCGAATACCAATTGAAACACAACGAACGCGCATTACTCCATCAACGAACGGAAGACACGGAGCCCGGTTTACCGGGGCGCGTTCTCTTTGATCGCCGCAAACGACCGCGCGGTTCGTCGACGACGGTAAACCGGTTAATCGGTAGATCCATCGGGGAAATACGCAACGAGCTCCTCTATAATAATCATACCAACGTCCTTAGTACATCTTACATAAAAAGGAGAAGATACAGTTGGCTTAAGGGCTGAGCGGGTGTCGGCACGGGTGATACGAAAGCTTGATAGTCGTTCCAATTTTATCGAACGACAGTTTCCATTTCTCCATCGTCGCTCCAATCGCGGGCATATCGCAATCGCTGTTTTCAGCCGTCGTTATCGCGAAACGATTAGAGAAGAAAGGAAAAAACGGCTGTTTACTCGATAGATCGTGACGCAATGGTAGTCGCGATATCATGGCTCGAGCATCCACGTCGTTCGAATAATTTCACGTATTTTTTAAAGCGTTTCGAACAGTCGCGAACATGGCTGCCAGCCGCGCGAATCGAACACGCGATTGTTGATTTCGTTGGAAAAACTGAGAGTAGCACGTAGCCATTGTTGTCGCGAACTTTTAAAATCCCGGTGCTTCGGTTCTTCTGCGATTCGAAGGGAATATGGCGGAAGAAGAGACATCCCGATACGATACGATATACGCGATGAAGGTTGAACGCAGCGGCGGGTTATCGGAACGGGACCCAGAACCGTATCTCTTCCAGAGAAGCGATAAACCGGAGGAATACACCGATCCTTGCGGACCAACTACTACCGCGGCTGCTGGACTCGCGCTGGACCCGTTCCAAAATTTACCTCCCGTTTCTCTACCCTCGCCACCTTCCACCACCCGTTTTCCAGCGGCTCGACCTCGAAAGGCCACGACCGCAAACTTTCCTCGCCGGAAATGCCTCTCGCCGTTGATCGCTGACACGTAAGCGCGCCGATAACGTTGTCTCGCGTCGAATCTCAGAGTACAATGGTTCCCGCAAAAATCGACAATTTAACAACGAACAGAATTCGACTCCAGAGTCGTAAATTGCATCGATTTGGAAACAGTTAAAAATCGTTTGATAAAATATAGAAAAGGGTAGTTTGGTAGTCGGTTGTTCGCACAAGGGTTAAAGTATCGCGGATTTGAACCTCGCGATCATCGTCGATCCGGATCACGATTCGATTCCGTCGACGCCGGCTCGTCGACGTTTACGGCGTCGAGAAAAGAAGACGGAATTTTTGAACGGGAGCCAAAGCGACGCTGCGTGCCCGAAAAAAGCCTCTCATCTTCGCTCCCTCCCAACCCCCTCTCTCTCTCTCTTTCTCTCTCGGTCACCGTTTGTTTCTCCTGCCAAGTTAGATTTATCGAAATTCTAAGCATCCGACTGGCTCTCCGCTTCTCCGCTCGTCGCGCCTACGTTCGCGATCTTCTGCGCCCGACCCGCTCGGCAGTTTTTGCCTTTCCGTGCGCGCTAGCCCCGTCTTCCTCGTGATTTATCCGCGATTTATGCGCGCGCCGCGGGAACTCGCGACACGATGCTCCGCGGAAACCGATCCGAAAGTTCTGCGCGATCAGCTCCGACCGATTCCACGGAAAATGCCCTGGTCTAGGAACTTTCATCTTGGCCTGCTGGCTTCAGTCGACGCCCTTCAACCCCTTATCGTACGATTTCATCGGAAACGACTCTTGTCGAGATTCAACAAGTTTTATTTCCACGTAGAGAAATTTGACTGTAAGGGTAGTAGGCGTAACGACGTAGTTGATTTAGTTGACGTTCCAGAAGATTTAGAGCGCGATGCGTGTGCTGGAAACGGTCGACGCGTATGTGGCAGCGACCATTACCGGCATTGGTCAGCGAAGTCACGTATACGTGACAGCGGCCGTCAAAGCGTTGACGGGCGTAGTTGGGGAAAGAATTGGAAAGGAAGATGGAAGGAAGGATCCCGCGAAACGGAGGGAGGAATGGCAGTCAGGCTGGCTGGCTGGCTGGCTGGCTGGCTGGCTGGCTAAAGGGGGGAGAGGATAAAGAAGAATCGAGACGAGTCGCGTTCCTCGAGCGAGGGCACGCGGGGTCGCGCTCGCAGACGGAGGCATCGCCGTCACGTCGGCCAGAAATCACTGCCGTGCGTCAGGGAAAATTCGCTCGGCGATTGTTTATATTGAAATACGCTCGTGCAGGAATGCTCGGAAACGAGTTCGGCCTCGGCTCGGCATCGCGAAATACGCGAGCTACCAGCCGCCATTTCCGTTCCAGCAGCCACGCGAAAAAGAAGTCGCGCCCGTTCCACGAATTCTCCTCTTCCTCGACTCTTCGATTTCCACGGAAAGCTATTTGCCCGTTCCAAGTTTATTATTTCGATTCGAGACGTCGGCGATCACTCACCTGCGATCCAGTGCTCGTCGCCGATCGTATATAGATCTTTACGGCCGGTTTCGCCCTCTCGCCGCGCTACCGTCGATCGATGATTTCGATTCAAACGCTCAAACTTCTGTAATTCTTATGCATATATATTTCTGTTCATATTCATACGTATATTCATATTTATATTCGTACCTGTATTTATATATATAATCGTATTTATATTTGCATTTATATGTATGTATATATTAATTATGTACACGTTTTATACAAAAATGTTCTCGCGCCTTTATACATAACTCTGTATAGATATCTTTTCGCCCTACGAACATCCAACGATAACGCAATTCGTGCTCGGTATAATACAATTTTTCAGTTTGACGAGCATCCGCGTTCGACGACGCGTACGCGCCTCGATCAGAATACCCTCGACGAATTCGACGAAGCTGCGCGCGATTCCCGATTCGCTCGATCGCGAATTTGATTCGAGGAGCGCTCGGGGCCATCGCGAGCCCGTATCGGTTCCGCAGATTCCGATCGAGACGCGTCGCTCCCTCGCTATGAGTTATGTGTTCACTGTACGCGTGTATGTGTCTATGTGTTGTGTCGTGTGTTGTACGCGTGTGTCGCTTTTAAGAAACGATCGCTGCTTAAAAATATTAGAAATATCCCATATACCCCTAAGTGGTTCTCTAAGTAACTAGCTCGACATTGCCACATTTATCGTAAACGTAGTATTCAAATATTTTGTTTCTCTTAAACGATCCGTCGTCCTTTTCCTCGTACAACCCTATACAACGCACCGTGTCCAGGTATATCGTACAGTATTTATAGAGTAAAAAAAGCACCGTCTCGAAAAAACCGGATTTTAGTTTTCACGTACATGTACATATAATAGGTATATCACATTGCGTTCGCCGAGTACTCCTCGCCTATCGTTTCCCGCCGATCTTCGTTTTCCCGCGACCGATTTACTCGGAGACCGACCGACGAGCGACTCCGTACGTCCGCGAAAGAAAAATATATTTGTCCGCGCGTCGTCGCCCCGTCTCCGAATGGCTCCTCGCCGGTTCGCTTCCGATCGAGAAAACGCCCTCTCGCAAATACATCCTGCTCGATCCGTCGCTAAGAAACGCGCACAGTGGACCTATCGCGTGTCAAACGCAGTGAAAAGATATTTTATTTCAATTTTCCGTAACAAGTGTTCGATAAATCAATCGCAAGATTTGCCATTTTCCAGCAAGTAAAGTTAAAATTTGGCGTCCAACACCCCACTGTGCCACGTTTCGAGATAAGATTTGGCCAAGGAAACGGACGCTTCCGTGGTCGGCGAAAGCTCGACGGAGGATCGACGCGACGCTCTCCGACGTTCGAGGAAAACCGCGGTTGTTCGCGACACCGGAAGCGAGCAGAAGTTCGTTCAACAGCCGACGAATAAAAGCTCCGTGCAAATCGGTTACCGGAGATAAACTTTCGTTCCTTTCGATTCAAATTTTTATCGAACGCGTAACGGCACTAGGAGTTGGATCGTATCTTTTGTTCGTCGTTCGAAATCTTCGTCCACGCAAGAATTTTGCCCGCCTCCGCGCTGAAAAACGGCAAATTCGAACGCGTTCGCGCGCAAGAAACGGAAAATCGTCGTGGTCACGCTTTCGCGACGCAAATTGGCCGTTTCCGAAAGCCGTGTTTTTCGTGTTTTGCTTTCGAGTGAAAGGGAAGGAGAGGACAGAAAACGAAAATCAGAGCAAAGATGGCGGCTAACGTCGAAGCTGCCGCGACTCGTCCAATGTGCGCGAACCTCGCGATCCTCGAGGAGAACCTAAAAGCAGGGCTTGAAAACTCTTACAATATAGGTTTTAGGTTCTTGGGACAGCCACCAAGAACTTTTATTCCGAATAACTGTTGCAAAGAACCTACATTTCAGAGTGTATCTATTTCAGTTCTATAACCTTTTAAACTTCATATAAGACCTGAATCTATTCGCGAACAAATAAGTTGAAAATATATGATAAACATTAGTGGTACAATCCTTCGTTTTTAAGATAAGTGAAATCGAAAATTTGTCGAATACCAGATACGATTTGTCCGACGTGTCTGCCCATTGCTCGCTATTTCTACTTGTGCCGAAAACTTTAACTTAAACTCTACTTTGACTTGTAGATTCTACGTAACAGTTCAGAGTAGAAGTTCTTCGTGGCAATTTCGACCAGAACATTTATTTAACGGTTTGAAACAATTATGTTCGAGGTTTTTTCAAGCTCTGCCTAGAAGATCGGCTCGCAGACTTTGCCGACGTTTGAATTTCGCGCAGTGCTCGACGAGGGAACCGAGAAGAACGATACTTTCTAAGCCTAAGCGACGCTGGGCGAATTTGACGCATATTACATATAACGCATTTTTGGATGAATCGTTTTTGTTCTTGGTACGCGCGGTTAACGAGAACTAAGGCGTAAGGTTGAGGGAAGTTCAGGATTAGAGCCTAGAATGGAGAATATCCTAAGTCTCGTACGCAGTGATCGTCGCAGAAAAGAATACAATCCTTTAATAAATAACAGGCAGAAAACAAACGCGCAAAATTAACTTAATCTTTACGTTTCTTATCTGTACGCATACCATACGATTTCCTTTTCCTCGAAGAACAATAAATAAAATTCTTGCGGCCGAGAATGACGCGTTTGCAGAACTCTTTCGCGCCTTTTTTCAATTTTACGTTTATAACAACAATGATAATAATAATGATAGCAACCGGTAGCAACGTTTCGCATTCAGATTCACGGAGAAGGCGTTGCTCGATTCGAACCGGAGACGAGCATAATTTTATTCGTTCTGTACTTTACGTTCATTTCAACGAGTAATGTTTACCTTCGACTCTTCGTTCGAAGTTTGATCCCGAACAAAAATTTGCTCGTCTCTGTCCTTTGAGGCGGGAGAGAAATAGAGGAGAAAAGAAATTCTTAGGAACGCGGGCACGTACGGCGGAGAACGAAACGTCAAAACGAATGACTAAGAGTTTCGGCATGACTCGACTAACGGCAATTACTCGACGCGAAGATCGATGGGAGATACCGATGGAAGATCTACCAGATCCCCCGCCGTTGATTACAAATGCTAATTTATGATTTCTTCGCGCCGAGTACTTCGGAGTCTCGTTCTCTCTCTTCCCTTCGCGTTGACTCCTCGTTTTCATTTTTTCTCGTTTCTGTCGTCGGCCGTTCGAACGAATCTCGCAAATGTGTGAAATAAAAGCGCGACGAAACCGAGTTACTCCGATCCGAACTTCGTTTCCCGTCTGTTCGGTTCGATCGTTCAGGAATTCAACCCTTTGCGCTTCAATGTTTCGATATATGGCTCGACTTGATAATTCAAGACAACTCTGGCGCAATTAAGAATTTTGAAGGTTTCGCGTCGAGGAACAATTTGGAAGATTCCTGTTGAGAAGTGCAAAGGGTTGAGCGCGGTTTGAAAAGTCAGGCGGCCTCGATTGTTCGGTCAAGCAACGTCTTCATCGCGTCTTTGGTTCATCCCCCATTCTTTTCTGCTCTGGCGTGTTCCCTCGAGACGCTCGGCGTCTCCTCCACGTTTCACCGTGGCCCTCGCGAGAGACGCTCCGCGTCGTTGATGATCGCGTTCGGATCCACTCCGCCCCGTCGAGAATCGAATAATAATTTTCCGTTGCGCGTCGATCGTGCTCGTAAGATAGCCCCGACGCCGACGTCTCGTTTCTCGAAGGCAGCCGTCGGCGTCGCGCGAGTTCGACGAAAAGGGATAATCCGTGGCTCTCGGAGTTTCTAATATCGAACGACGCGTCCCCGTTTCGTTCGGCCCGAAAGTTCTCTGGCATCCAAGCTTCGTTCGTCCAGTCGATTCCCGCGCGTCGCGACGAGACAAGAAAAATTTAAGCTCGCATTTCGGATGAAATCGCACAGTAATTGACATCGACCCTCTGCTGCGTGAATTTCAGAAAGAGGACTAAATAATAAGGAAAAAGTATCGGGCACGTTGTACGATGGAGCGTTAAGGGGGTGTTCTTCGAAAAAGTCGATCGTTCTTTTGTTTTCAATTTGTAAATTTAATCTGGGCAACGCTTCGCGCTAGAATACTCCTTTAAGAGGAAATGATCGGCAGTCCGAGCAATTGCTTAAAACAACTATCGAAAGGGGTGTTTAGTAGCTCCGTTCGAGCATCGTTCTCTCCGATTAGTTCGTTCTTCTCGATCGCCTAGTTCGTTTGTTCCCTTAGTCGCGCGCGTCGCGAGTCCTGGGCGATCGCTCGCGATCCAGCACGTGGGAAAATTGTGAAAACATCGGTTCAAAGTCGATTTTTCTAACGCGTCGTCAACGACGTTTTCGCGGTATCCCGTCGAAGGGTGAAGGAATCGTTGGTTCCGGTCGAGGGACGGGCAAAAGAGTCCTTCGCGCGGATCGTGCGAGCGTTACCGAGCGGGACTCGACTGCGCGTGGCTCGAATCGAGCGTTTCGCTCGACGATCGAAACTTGGTTGGACCACGGGACGAGACGGGAAGCGACAGTATTACGCGGAAGCTAGCTGTCGCCAGACAGAATGTCACATCGTGGACATGTACGGCCAGTTGAAGCTGCTACCGCTCAACAGCATGTCCCTGATCAACGTCTCGATCGGCGTTTTCCCGACCAGTCTAACGAAGAACAGCTGTTCGATCACTTGCGAGGACACCGTTCTTAAAGATGGTAGCCGTAGGAGCAGCTTGCCGAACCTCGTCGGCTGGTTCGGGTACTGAGTCCTGCAGTATTCTTCCAGGGCGCACTGAGACTTCTCCTGAAGGGACTCGATGTGCGCCACGTCCGACAATCCGCAAGCATCTGCAAAGGAAACGCCAAAAGAGCCTCGTTAGTCCAGCTGCTCGAATAAATGGACGAGTCGATATACGATGAAGCGAGTTAAGATAGAACGTGCAGGAAGTATACGATAGGCGTAGTAAATATTCAGTTAAGGAGTGTGTGAAGTGATTCGTGAAACAGCAGAAATTACTAGCTACGCATTAAGCCTCGTTTAAAGGAGATTAATACGTCGCAGTAAGAATTTACATTTTCTCACATACGATTAATACAGTTAGAGTTGCCATAAATTGTGCGATAATGATGTTACGGTTGAGTATACAGATTAATTAATTCAAGGATTCGTGGGCAGCTTGAAAAGCTATTTAGTATTGTGCATTGAAAATAGACGGGTCGCGCCAGTAATTCCGTGCTTCTTTTTTTTAATGAAATTAGATCGATGGATCTGCAAACACGATCGTAATCGTGATCAATGATTGCAATAGGATCATCCATCTTGCAGAAAACATATCGAAGAAATTTCTTCTGCCCCCATCCATCAAAGTTTGCGTCACTGTTAGGCTAGTTAGATGTAACTGCAGTTAGTATTATTTCCGTCCGTCATAGCTTATACGAGATCTAACGATCTGGAATCTAATCAATCTGGACCTTCGCGAATTAATGGTTCATTTTATAATGATAGTTTGCATCGTTTCTTTGGAGTAATCTGTGGATCGTCCCAGTTAAAACCTGTCTTGAATATTTTCTAAAGATACATTATTGCGCGATAATAATAATATTCGTATAATGCTTGAACGTCGAAATGTAGTTTTAGAACAACAAGATCGTCTGCTTTGAATTGCTCGGGAGTATTCTCATGAATTCGCTGGCTAGATTAATGAGATCCGCCCTTTCCCCCAGGCCAATTATACGTAGAACTAAACATGGCCATAGCGACCCTAGCAATGGAATCTGCTGCCTCGCAAACAACCATAGTCGCAGGGTAGATCTTTTCTAATTAAAAAGAATCCTTTCGATAGAGCACTCGAATAAGATATGTATAATTTTTGGACCGATCGCGGCGATAATGAGATCGTGGTCGACAAGGTCGATCGACGGGGGAAAGTTGAATCTACGTTACGAATGTCACGGTTAGAAGGATCGTAATCAAGGCTCGCGGAAAGAGTCGTCGGCAGGAGCATTTTAAGGGGCGGACGGGGTTGCCGCAAAAATCGCCCTCGGGCGAGCAGACACGCAGTGGAATGAGACTCGACTCGACTCGACTCTGACTCTGACTCCTGGAGCCGTTGGAATGCGTGCCAACTAGAGAGACGCTGCAAATGTCGGACTAATCATGCGGGGTGTCCCTGCCGCGCGAAACCTTCTACCTTCGCTTTATCCGTCACCATTGTTTTGCAACCCCCGCCGCGGAACATTCGTCGCCACCCTTTCTTTCACGGCATCGACACGCTCGAACTGTCGCCTCGGCCCGTGGAAACCACCACGGCCGATCGAACTTGGCTACCAGAACCGATCGACTCCGCGATCTCGAACTCCGAAGTTCCCCGCGCTTTTCTCATTACCTCTCGAGCGCTCTATCGATGATATATCGAGCTGCTCGTTAGCGAGAAAGGGAAAACACCTCGGCGAACGATCGCTTTACGGTTCTTAACGCGCCAGGTTGCTCGTAAAATAGATTATAGTTTTTAGACGTTGCTCGTAAATACGATCGCGTCTCGATTCCTTGAAAAATCACTCACTAAATACGAAACTGCGGTAGATTGTTCGGTTTTGTTGCGTTATCTGCGAAACGTCCGTTCTCCGTTGGTTGTTGGAAGCCAGCGAGCGTTCCCTCGGCGATTGTTCGTACCCGATCGACGGAGCTTCCTCTCGAAACCCCCCCACGTGGACGTAGAGGTCTCTTTGGGAATGCAAATCGCATTATTTCCATACGTACGCGTAATGGGCCATTACGCGCACGTGGCGACCGCAAAGGAATTCGACGATAGCTCCTATCGCGACGTAGTCCAACCGCACGCGCGACATCCAATGTGACTCCGCGCATTGTCCGATCTCTGGCTCCATAGATCCCCCTCGATAAACCTTGTCATCGGCGCCGTACGATCGATGGAGTCGTTATGCTAATTCCAAGTTAATTTTTTCACTTTTTAAACCGTCGCGTTCGATTCACGACGACTTTCGACGTCGACGATTCTCATCGGTCGGTTCGATCGTGCCCAGAACCAGATACGTACGTATTAGTTTCATTTACGATCGAGGAGGGTTCAATTAAAGCAAACCGCAAGGAATCCGCCAACGCGCGACCAATAAACAAACCGTCGGATTGGCTCTCCGATGTCGTCAGCGCCAATTCACCGCATCAATTCGAATAATGCCGTTGAGTGGCGTCTCTGCTCCTCGACCCCTTTCCTCTTCGCCACTCGATCACGATTTCTCCTACCCCGTTCCGTGCGCGTTAACCGGCTAAATGCCCTGGCGCCTCGTTGACCAACGTCACCGTGAATTAACCGATTTTAAACTCCAAAGACTCTTTCTCCTTCTGCCTTGTTCCCCCCCGAGACCCCCCACCTCTCTTGGTCGTTCCGACAATTAACCCGCGAGCGAACGCGCTGCGCACATTTCTCTCAAGTTATTTATAGACGTGTCATCGAACGACGGTGGACGTTTCGTTGAAAGTTGTCGCGATCTACGGGGAACCTTATCGCGGGAACGCAAAGATCAGCGAAATTATTGCATGGAAATCGTAGCAACCGAGAAAATTGCTTCCGAGGAACGTACGAAATGTCGCGATCGTGTTTATACCACCTGTCTTGGAGTTCGGTGCACGCGTTCACTTCGCGTTGGAAGAATCGCGGCGCGATTCGAAGGAAAGTTCTTCGAATCGTCCCTCGTTTCCTCGGCAACTCGGGGGATAGAGGTCGTTAATGCGAGTCGGTCGTTACGAGATGCGAATTAAGTACGGTAAATTATAGTTTGCGTGGCTCGCGTATCCCGCTCCGAAGAGCCGTTATCCGCCGCGATCTCGCACACGGACGATCCTAATGAACTTCGCCTCCTCGTCGAGCGCTTCTTCCGTCGGACGTTTTTCGCCGTCTCGCCCCGATCCGTCACCTGTTTTCCGACCGACGGAATTTTTCACGCAACCGTCTATATCTTCGTCTTGAGTGTTGCATAATTCGCCAGGTTAATTTCACTTCGAGGCGAGCATCGTCCAATTCTTGTAAATTAATGATACGCTAAAAAGTGTGCCCGCAGACAGGCTTTCCTGTATGGAAATTCAGACAGGCACCATCGAAATTGCTCGAGGTGGGAGAGGAAATTGTTTAGGGTGGTAAAAGTTATCGCGTAGACAGAAACGAATAGAAGAAGGTCCGGTAAGGAAAGGGGGGTGGCAGAGAGCAAATGAAGGGATAGAGAGAGTAAAGTGAGAGGAAAGAAGAGGCGAGAGAAGAGAAAGACAGTGGCAGGGATTCTTTCATGCCCTTCGGAAACGTCATATAGCTGTCGGGTGCCGCGGAGGCAATATTTCACGCCGGTAGGTCCGCCTGTCCTCCTGCCCCCTCTTCGTTCCTACACTTTTGAAGGAGTTTTTACGGAGTCTCTCGATCTTTAATCACAGCTCGACCTTCCATTGTCAGTGACGTCACCTCCGACTCCGAAAGGGTGTTCGGGGGATGCTTTGTGTCGAGCTGTGCCGATCCCTCTCCGCGTCATTTGTCTCTGGATGCCTTATTTGTACGCGCATACAGTGAAACGCGTCGCGGTCGCAAAGGAGACGGCAAGATGGAAAGATGGAAAACGGAAAGCCGGGTCCCGGCGATATCACACCGGCGCGGCGCGGTCGCGAGAATGCCTAGATGAACGAGCGGATAAGCGAGCGGATCGAGCCACGCCGGGAACAAACCAAAGAGAAAAAGTAGTCGAAAAGCGGAAAGATAGAAGGCGAACCGGGGAAAAGGAGAAAAAGGGACGAGCCAGACACCAAGACCGGGTGAACGAGTCTACGCGTAATTCTGCACCGCGATACGGATCACGCTGGTTAATGGGTTCCGATGACGTTTCGAATATTTTTACCAACCGCGAGAAACGCGAAAACGCACGCTGCACGCCAACCAACGGGTTCTCCGATCGACAGAGTCGAAATAAAATTAAAACTACGAAAGATAATCTGGTGCTCGTCGGGATTACCTCGAACAGAAGGTTTTTTAAACTGTTGTCAACACGGTGTAGTAATCCGTTGACTTAACGTTGAAAATCTGGAAATAACGGGGCATAATTTTGATGGTAGGGTCGTGAAACCCACGAGTCGCAAAAATTTTCATGAATCTTCACGAGCGTACGGTTCTTAAGACGTTTCTTGCTCGCGAGGAGAATCGTTTCATCGATTCGTAAACCCGGCGGATTATCGCGAGAGGACGTAAGCCGAACGTAATATGGAACGCTCGGTTATACGAACGAAGAAAGAACCCGGGTATCGATCGTGTCTCGGAACAAAGTTGTCTAAATATTCAACCAAGTTTTCATCGTCGAGGTAGACGAGCGTGCAATCCACGACGATATTTTCGATGAACGATTCCGATATCGTTCGTGGTGAAATATGAAGGTACCATCGTTCACGAACCGCACAAATGCTGGCTGTTGGTTCAGGTGCTCGTTGTCTCGCAAGTCTGACCAAACGTTTGACTCTAGAATGAAAAAATGTAAAAACAGGAGAGAGCCTCTGTCGATGTTTTACGTATTAGATGTTATTGTTCTTCACGCGTGTTCTTGGCTCGTAATGGCTCGTCCAAGTTGGAACAGGAGTTGACTAATGAGTTAATTAGAAAGCAAATCAATGACAGCGGTTTGAGATTGACCGAATTACAAAATCAGGTTACAGATGCTGTTAGAAAACATAAGAGGAAAGGAACTAAAAACAAAACTAATGAACGTTGGGGTACCAATTAGAAGAGAAAGGCGCTAGAAACACATAACGGAAGCGACACGTGAAATAATGAAACGTGATTTATCTAACGCAAAGCAAT